CTCCGGTACCGGGAACCGAACTCACGACCTTGCGCTTGCCAGGCAGGCGCTTTTGCCGCTGAGCTAAATCCCCAGCCCCAAAATTAAATACAAATGTATCATGGTATAATGGTCTAATAAGGTAACATATGGAGCCAGGGTACCAAAGTTGGAATTGGCTTTATTAGTTTTGGGCAACTTAATCACCCTGTGTTTTAGTTTCCTTATCTGAAAAATTATAATAATTTTAACAATAGAGTTGTGGGAATTGTAATAAATTAATATATGTGAATCCTTAGAATAGTATCTGACATATAATGGATACTACATGTATTAGCATTATTGGTATAAATAAAATAGATTTATATTCAATGGAATATCTCCATAAGGTAAGAACTGATATCTTTCTTTAAATGGACCAGGTGACAGTAATGGCAATATATGCTTATTGAGCTGCTGATATATTCTAGGTGTCATGCTCAGATCTATGATACAAATTCAGTTCAGGAGCCCATGTTATGCAGGGAGCTTATAATGGCAAAATTAATTGAGTTCTGATTGGATCCAGAAAAGCATCATAGAAGAGCAGACATATGAGATAGACCTCAAAGAAATCTGACCAAATGAATGAAGGTCCTTAGAGACATAAGGAGCACAAGGCAAAGATGTGAAGAGGAAATAAAAGAGAAGAAAACAGAAGGAACGTGGGGCACATATGGAGAGTATCTGGAGATGAGGAGGGAAAGAAGGTGGATTCTTATGAAGCACCTTGTTAGTTAGCAGAGGACCATGAACAAGTATCTAAACTTGAGAGAGAAAAATACAACAACACTGCACCTCAGACCAGTCACTTCAGTGGCAATGTGAGAAATACATTTGAAGAAGTAACAAACGTAAAAAATATCATCAAGAAATTATTGTAATGATCCTATTTCAGGAGAGATTTTAAAGGGTGAGATAAGATAATAGGGACAAAGCAGGAGAGTTTGGACAGATTTGAGAAGGATTTGCAAAACTTCACTGTCAATTTCATGTATCTAAATTAGTACAAGTACACCATGTTAATTTATGTATCTTGTAAGGCACTGGTTTGATCTTAGAAGCGTGAACATAAATAATGAACTTTTCTTTACTCTGAATTTAAGGGCTGGGGACATAGCTCAGTGATACAGCATGTTCTGGTTTATATCTAGATACCATGTTCCATCCAGAAAACCCTTATAGAGAGATGAATGAAGACACGAGAGACAGAATATCATCGTTGGCAGCCAGGGGTCTTCTGTGAAATGGAGTGAAGCCCCAAACTGATTCAAACCCCCAGATTTATTGAGGAAAAAAAAAAGGCAGAGTTCTGTTGAGTCTAGATGTTTGTTTTAGGTAGTAAGGCGGGCAAGCAAGGCATGGTGACAGTTTGGTTGAATAATTAACTTTTATCTGATTGTTTCCTAGGGAACTTCCTTGTCTTCCCCATAAAGTCCATATCTGCTTGGATTGGTGAATCATCCTGTCTTCAAGACATTTCCGCTCCTCGAGGTAGAAGTCTTCTGCCTCCCCAGTCAACCTAGCCAGACATTAACCCATTGGGTGATGCAAGGGACTCCACATCTAAATGTCCCCCAAGAGTCTCATGTGCTTATTATAGGCAGGGTTTTTGTAAGGTGACTGGATTAGGCCAGCTCATGACTTGCTCTAGAAGGTAGGGTCCTGTCAGAAGAGGTGGGTCCCTGAGCATATGGCCTAGGACTTCACTCCCTCCCAGCTTCTCACATCACCATCTGCTTCCTGTTTGCCATTGTGAACTACTCAACAACTCTACCACACCCTTCTGCATTCCATCACACTTTGGAGCCAGCCTACTATGGACTGAAACTTGAGCCAAAATAAACAAACCTCTCCTTCCTTTAAGTTGCTAATGTCTGTTATCTTATCTCAGTGATAAGTAACTAAGAGCAATTGCCTACCAGGTGCAGGACTCTGGGTCCAATCCCTGATACTAGGAACACACATCAGAATTTAATACCCTTCAAGGAAGTGAAAGCTTTCTTTGCAATCACCTTCAGTAAGGAGGGGGAGATTATAACCTAGAAGAATTATCACAAGAATGTAAATATTCTTATTTTAAAATTCCTACATCAAGAAACTAAACACACTTGAGAAGTTAGTGCCCAAAGATTTTCAAGTAATGAGTAAAGAATTTAAATATATCTCTATAAAATTCTCTCCTTTGAAGATGACAAAATTCAAGAGACTTGCAAATGTCACAAAGCTAGCAAGCAGGCTGCTCTATAACGACTTCTGACTCCATTCCACTTTACTGTCCACAGTTGGGTGCTTGGTACCGTCTCCAAGGAAGGATTTTTCAGCTATTATTATATATATATGATTCTCTAGTCTCTTATCCACAGTACTACTGACATTGTGGCTTGGATAAATCTTGGTTGTGGGGCACATTTCTTTGCACTGTAAGAATGACAGCATTCATTTCTGTTCTCTGCCTCTCAGATGCCAGTAACACCCCCTCTTGTTCCTCTTGTGACAAATGAAAATGTCTCCAGACATTGCAAAAGTACCTCCTGAGGGGCAAATAACTTCCAGTAAGAGCCCTGGTTAAAGTCCTCTCTATCTCTAATATGCCAGGAGCTTTAGTCAAAGGAGGAGGAAGAATCCAAAATCTTTGTGAAATTTCTTTTGAAAATTTTCAGTCTTGGTAATACTTCCAGCAGTTTTCATAATCTTTTTCTTAAGAAACTCAGCACTTACATGCCTTCTAACTTTCCTTGCTCATGTATCTACCCTGTGGGCTTTTAGACTATTCCTTTCATTTACCAGCTCCATTTCTAGGCTCCCTTGTGTTCTGGTTTCCAGGTGGGTCCAGCCAACAGGAAGGTCTGGTAAAAGTTGGAATCACAGGAGGCAAAATACCAAGGCATTTCTCTCTTCATCTGAAAATAACTGTTGAGTCAACCTCCATGCTCCTTTCTTGCTAGACAAATCCTTTCTCTGTGGTCCCTGCCATGTTACCTTCTTTCACCAGGTGGACTTCGGTCCTGGGCTGTCATGACATCTCTGTTTTTCCAGTCCTAAGGATAGCAGCAACTTCCTGCTGTTGCTAATCACTGATAATCGCACTGTTCCATTAGGTTTCATACTTTTTCTGTCACCTATGTTAAGTAGCTGTGATGGAGTGAATTCTGTTCCCCCCAAATCCACATGTTTCCCTAACAACCACTGTTATGGTTTGTGTCTGGATGACCCCCTAAAGCCTCATGCAGTCATGGGGCGGGCTTCTAGAGTTTTTGATTGATCCATAGTCCAATGCTGGCATTATGGGTGTGAGTGCTACACCCGCCCTGGGGCTGCTAGTTTGCGTACATTGTAAGGGAGGGAATGATCCTTCTCTCTGCTGCTCCTCCCTTTTTGCTTTTGTTGCTTTTGCTGTTTTCTGCTGCCTTGAACTGTAGCCCTCTGCCATGCACCACTCTGCCTTGGAGCCAGCTGAGCATGGACTGAAACTTCCACAAACTGTGAGCTAAATAAACCTTTCCTTCCTTAATTTTGGGTGTTGGGTATTTTGTCTCAGCAATGGGAAAAAGTAACTGGAATAACCACTGTGGAAATACATGGAATAAAGAAGTAATTCATTTTCAATAAGATCATAGGAGTGGAACCTTGAGTGAATAGGATGATTCTATTTAGAAGAGGACACAACTGAGAGTGCTTCTCCTCTCCCTGCCCCTCTCTACTCTGCAAGAAGTTGTCTACATGCAAGAGGGGAAAAAGCCCTCACCAGGAAATAAATCTGCTGGTCCCTGAATTTTGGAATTCTCATCCTCTGGAATGCTGAGAGTAGACATTTCTATTAAGACATTAAGTCAGCTGTATCTTATTATGGCATCTCAAGTAGACTACCATAAACGTTATATACTTGTTGGAAATAGCCAAAGGGTCTCTGTTTTCCCACCAACCTTGACTGGCACAAGTGCTTTACATTACTATTACCATATAATATTTATTGAACTTCTGATGTGTGCCTGACATTATATAAATGCTACTTTTACATTCATTTTCTTACTCTTTCTTACTCAACAATATTTGTAAAGTAACAAATGATATGACACAAGAGCATAGGTTTTGAGCCACTTTGAATCACAACTCCTTCTCTTACTACCTCTCAGAGTTAAGAAAAGTTAATCTCTCTAAGTGCTGGAGTCCTTGTCTATAAGTTGGTCTAATAATAGTTTTAACCTAAGTGTGTGTTCTATATTAAATGTTACTTTATATAAAGTACTTAGAGTATTTTTAGGAGTATAATAAGCTCTCAGTAAATCTATCATTTTTAGCTAAAATTTACTAAATGTCAATTCTGTGCCAAGCCCTGTGTTCCAGGAACATAAACACAAACAATCAATGTCCTCAAGGAGTTTCAGTGTATAAATGGGCAGCAAACACATGAATAGGTGATGATAATAAAATATGGCAAGTTTATAGGTAGATATATCATAAGAAAGCAAACATGATTGATTAACTGTCAGGATTTGTGCCATTTGTCAGGGTCTTAATCTCAGTTCACCAATTAGTAACTCTTTGGCAAGTTAACTAATTTCTCTAAGTTCCATTTATTTTCCACCTGCAAAATGAGTATAATAACAATTCATACTTTATAATAATTTGATGAAAAGAAATGAAATAATAAAAACAGCTTGTAATATAATTCCTGGAAGGTGATAAGTGCTCACAAAAGGATATCTTTAAAAATTTTATCATTGATAGTAAAGCACAAAACGGAGATGCCTAATTCAGAAGGGCTCTATAAGCTTCCTATTCCTTGGCTGTCACACTGATTTACTTGATAGCAATTGCCTTCCTTATTTTTCCTCCTCCTTCATACTTTTCCACTATGAGTATAAATTATTAAAATCACTTCAGAAAATTTTTGACAGAATCTATTAAAGTTAAACACAAGTATACAAAAGAATTCCCCTCTTGCATATACATCCAGAAATACATTTATACCAAAAGACTTACAAAAAATATTCATGGCAGCTTTATTGATAATAATGCAAGCAAATGCCCATCAAGAGAAGAATGGATAGACACATTGTAATATATTCATATACAGTGGAATTTTACATAGCAGTGAGAATAAACTACAGCTTCATGCAAAGTAGGTGAATCTCACAGACAAAATGCTGAGTGAAAGAGGCCAGATTGCATATTTATTCCATTTAGAAAAAGTTAAAGACTAGACAAAAAGGAAGAATGTATGGTCATAGAAGTTGGGGTAGTGGTTATTTTTAGGGATATATTTACTGAGAAAGTGAATATACTGGAACATATTTACCAACAAGCTCTCAAAAAAAAAAAAAAAAGCAATAGTAATAAACTGCCCTGATTTTGAAGTATTTTCCAGTTTCCATGATGTAAATATCCCCACCAATGTGATGGGAATATTTTGTCACATCCCACCAATGTGATGTCACTGAACACAGGCATGAAAGGAGATGCATATATGTGCAATCTGCTCAGGCAAGCTGGCCTAGGCCAGCCTCAGTACACCCTTGAGTGATGGTGTGAAGGAGAAATTTGGTGCGCTAGAAATGCTTTGCATTTTGATCTAGGTAGTGCATATGCAGGTGTATACACAATCACAGGGCTGTATAGTAAGATTTGTTTACAGTAGGAATACTGTATTCCCATAATAAGTTAAATAGCAAGTTGTTTCTCAGAATTAGAATGAAAGAGCTTTTATAACTACTATGTCTTAGAGATTCAGAGAGGTACCAAGACTCAGTGACAGGGAGATGGGAACTCAGATCTTGTCCCACAAAGGACAGACAACAAAAAAGAGATAGTATTAGTAATCAGTGACGTACAATAGCAAAAAGATGGTGAGTCTTTCAGCTGGACTGCACTCAATTATTTCTACTGCAAAATTAATTCAATCCTATCAGCAATGATTGCTACACTTCATAAAAGAGCCTTGTTTCCAAACATCTCAGATGCCCTGCCTTATCAAAGCCCTGTCACTTTGAAGGGAAGATTCTTCCACTGGGTGGCTCCAGATGAACATGGTAAGCAAAGAATCAAGCACAAAACACCAATGTAAACAATGTTATTTTTACTTTGAGTAAAAATAGACACTTACATAGTTTTCTTCATGTACTTCAAATCTTAAATATGTTCAGTATGTGTAGAAGATACTTGTAATCTAGCAAAATGAGACATTTTAGTAAGAAACCTGCTTCTGACCTATATATCACTCACTTAATTTAATTACAAAGCCAAAGCAAAATTTTAAAGGGGCTTGACTGATGAAGGCTTCAGATATTCCCAGGTTCATTTGTTCCCAATCTGGCAATACAGGACCATAGAAAACACCAAACCAAGTATCTAGGGAATAAAGTAATAAGATTAACATGGAATTTAAGGCAAAACACCAGAGACATTATAAGTAAACAAAAAGAAAATATACATGAAAATATTCTGTTGTATGTCTATTGACTCTTTCCCGGGTAATTGGTACAGAAGAGCACTAAGAAATCTGAAGAGTTTTTTTATTGTGTTGGGCTTGTGTGTATGTGTGTGTATGTGTTTGTGTGTTTCAGCTGGCCAGTAAATATTTAACAGCCCTTTTTCATTCTGAAGCAAAAGTTGTCACCATAGTATTTCCCTCTTCTTTCTCCAGGACGTACGTGTTTTTGTAGAGTGTCTCCTGAGGACCTAAGCACTCTAGGAGCTAAATATACCTACTACCTCCACAAAAAGTCTATAGTCATCCGGTTTAGATTGCCTGCATAAAAATCAAGGAGTCTAGAATTTCTCTTGCCATAGTTTTAGATATTGCCTAGTAGAATGAAAATAAAGTAACTTTTTGTCTTTAAAAAAACCTCTTACCTAGGAGGAATAGCTTAACTCAGAAATTTTCTTGGAAGTGAAAAAGCACCACTGAAAATCTGGCATCATTCCATCTCATTAGCTCTTCTAATACTAAGGAAGCCCAGAGCTTGCTCTGGCTAATTGGCTCTGGAGTTGCTGACTTGTGGGTGGTGGTTTTGATATAGAAATGTCAGAAAGGACTTGTGTGCATCACAGACTGAAAATTTCTTCTTATCCTTCCCTTTTGAAGAGAAGCAGGAATTAGGGCAAGGTGTCATTTCTGCTGAGTCATCTCAAACACTACTAAGGTGTTAACTTCCTGCTTACTAATTCCTTCCTGGAAATGTGATTCAACTGCCAATATTTCTTACTCCATAAAAAGAGAAATAAAACAGACAGCTACTCTCTGAAATAATGATTTTCTTTCAAAATGTTCTAAAATGCAGTATTAAAATGTAATCTTTTTGCCTTGAGCCCAGTCCTTAAATCTGGGGGACAAAAATGAAGGAATAAAGGAAATGGGCAAAATAATGGAATAAGGCAACTATCGTATTTTATGGCTACATCCTTGAAGCAGAAGCCAATCATTCATCAACAGAGTAGACAGGCAATATCACACTTCCTTGCATTTATTGTCTCTGAAATGAACGTATATGAATGTCCAGAAAAATAGCAAATAGAAGGGATTCATCATATTATAATTTATGCTAAGACTTAGAACAAACTCCCTAAGTTATATGTAGAGTTTCCCATATTTTGAAGCAGTTCAAAAAATGTGATAGAATTTTCATTTTTCTTTTTAACTGCTCTATTCAGAGGACTTCTTATCGGGATAACTTTCATTCTATAAACATGACTATTAATGTCAATCACTTTTTACTTTTTAAATTAAAGACAGAAAAATACTTATAAGTTGCTGGAGTCAAATAAAGAGAGTTCTGATCGTCTGGTTAAGTCTAAATAATAAAAATTCAGTGTCTACAGATGATTTTTTTTATAGAATAAAGCATTTTGCTTGGATTCTTAGTATCTAATGTGAGAAGAACCCTTCAGGTTGGGCTAAAGCCCTGAAAATAAATTCACTCACCCTTTCAAAGCCCATGCCACATGGGTACTCCCTTTCTTCACAGAAGGCCTCAATGTATTTTCTGCATGGAGATCATTGCTTCTGTTTCATTAAAATATTTCTCAGGGGACATTTCCTTTCCATGTATTGTTGTGGTTTTTTATTTTTTAAATTTGAATTTGAGAAACATGCTCTCGTCATATACAACCCTAAATGCACCTGATCTCATCTAAACTTGGGACTCTGAGAAGGGAGATGGGCCTAAATTTTAGGCAACTAGGACTCTAGAAAAAATTGTACTATATTTGTGGGTAAATTTTTATAAACTGGATAAGACAATTTTCAAAGTTTCTTTTGAATAAAGGAAAGAGAAACATATAATGATTTTTTTTTTTTTTTTTTTTTTGCTTCAAACCTACAATGAGAGCAGATTTTTAATTGAGGAACTAAACCAAGTACAGTTTCCAATAACTTTTTCTAACCAACTGCTAACCTCATCTACATAGTCTAGAAATCACACTTAATTTAACTGGTCTAACAAAAAATGATTATGCTGCTGGGGATGTAGCCCAGTGGCACAAGTGCCTGCCTGGCAAACGCAAGGTCCTGAGTCTATTCCCAGTATCCAAAAAAGAAGATTACATTTTATGACAAAAACATATATTGTACAAAAAGTTTTATTAAGCCATTTCCCTTCTCAGACCATTAAAAAAACCAATAAAATATCTAATCATGTTACAACTACATGGAGTACACCAACTTCATAAAATATTGAACTGCACTATTCTTGTACTCATATTTTCCACTAGATTTATTCAGATTTTTGGCAATACCATTGGCTATGATAAGAAAGTCAGCAACATCCCCTACAGGTTATACCAGTATTCTTTTTTATTTTTTATTTTTTGGCTTTGCTTTTCAGAAACTTCTTGAAAGCATCTGAATCTGATTATACTCTGAAGTTTAACATTAACATTCAAAACCTCAATTAAAGCCTACTCTCTTGATCATTTGTATTTTTTGCTTGTTTGTTTATTTGTTTGTTGGTGTTGATTTATTGGGCCTGGACATGCTAAGCACATGTTCTATCACTGAGCTACACTCCTAGGCCCAATCATTCATTTCAGGTCTATGCTATCTATATATGTGCTCATGTGCTATATTTTTACAGAAACTTGACTATATATAGATATATACATCTATGTATAGATATATGTATAGATATTTTAAAGACATATATATCTTTTAGATGTCTATAATCTGCCTATATATGTATAGATATATAGATATATAGAAATATATAGAGGGGTTGGGGATATAGCTCAGTGGCATAAGTGCCTGCCTGGCAAGTGCAAGGTCCTGAGTTTGATTTCCAGCACCAAAAAAACCCTAAAAGCTTCTTATATATATATATTTACTCTTTTCTATGGCCAGTAGACCTTATATCTGAATTGTGTAACTTGTGTAAGCCCAGAATACAAAGTAAAGAAAGGACATTTTAGAAAATGCAGAGTCCCTAGAAACAGATCTAACACACCATTCCCTTTGACTTTCCTCCTGTAATAGACATAAAGAGAGCCATATCCTACAAATAGAGAATGCTTCACATTTAATCCCATTCATTTGGGCTACAAAAAATAATGCACAGCAGCCCAATTTACTGCTAATAGTCGCTAGCTGTCCTTTAATGCTTGGGTGGAAAACCACCAGTCACCTGAATGACCACTTGGAACACGAACTTGCTTTAATCTGAGCTAAAACTCTTGTCTGGCAGTGATGTGGCACAAGAGGTAGAAAGCTGCCAGAAAGTTCAAGGAAACATTCCACAGCACTCCTTGATAGTGAAGCAAAAGTCACTCAGCTGAGTCCAGCAGCCCACAAAAGCATTAACTAGGGAGATGCCTTACATTGAATTCTCACTAATGCTGTGAAATAGGATTGTGAGTGAACTTGACTCTTGATTTTGGAATTACTTAGGATGTGGGATAATTCCAAAACTGCTTCTCTGAAACAGTTTTATTTCACATTCTCGACAAAGATTTTTAGGCTTTATAGAAAACATTCCTCAGGTCCTAAAATTCATCCCAAGAAAACCCATCAAGATGAAAATCCTATGCAAGATATTTTTTCAACATCAATAAATATATTGATAAGAGTAATACAGAATCCTTCATCAGAACTTAATTGAAAACCTCTTGAAGGGAGTTTGTAGCATGTAAGCTTAGAATTTATTAAATTTCTGTAGAATGGAATAACATTGAAATAGCTTTCCATACTCTTGAGTTCAGTTTTAATTTTCTATTTCAGAATCATGAGATAAGAGCTATAAAGATTAGTTCTTCACTTTTGTTTGGTCCTTATTTTCCCACTTCAGAAACTTTAACCCTTGTTCTCATTTTCAATGGGAAAAAGATACCTAAACTAAGAACTGTATAAAAATTGGTACTAGTTTTTTCTCACTAAGTCATTCAAAAATGATATTCTTGGCCCTGTTCAGCTCATAGGACTACTTCTCGTGCCAGACTCAACGCAAATTTAGAGAGATTCTGGGCCTTAAGCAGTTGATATCAATATTTTTCTAAAGTAAGACTTTCAAAAATTTGCTTTATCATATGTACTCATTAAAAGAACTAATGAACAAAGAGTAATGAGAGAAAAGTCAATCATGCAATAGTTTACGCACCTCAATAACTGCCAGTCCAAACGCGATTCCAATAACTATGACAATGTGTTTTTCAACTGACTCTTTTATGAAAGAAATGCATGTCTGTTTAAAAAAAACACACACACACACAAAAGTTACTTTTTAAAGCTGGGCCTGAGGACACAATCCTGTAATACCAGAACTCTGGGAAGCAGAGGATCACAAGTTTGAGCCCAGTCTGGGCAATTTAGCATTTTAACAACTTAGCCAGATCATGTCTTAAAATTAAAAACAGGTTGGGGATGTAGTTCTATGCAAAGGCCCTGGGCTCAATCCCTGTATCACAAAAAAGAAATCTTTAATTATAAATAATCTTTTTCACAAATATTTTCCAGATTATAAAGCATTTGAGGAGCAAAGTTTTGCTTACACAACCCAGTTGCTAAAACTAAGGATTGAGAATTATAAATAATTTTTTCACCAACATCTAAAATTATAATTTTTATGATATAAAATTTATAAACAATAATTTTATTCTAACTTCAGATTATTCATTATGAAATATATATCATCTTGATTGGAATTTTTAGGTTTGTAATCTACAGCAACAAGGTCCTTGACTGAAGTTTTATTAATTATATAGCAAAATACTAATTTTTTGAAAATGAGTTTTCTACGTCTTTTAATGATGTCTACCGAGGTAATTTTTCCCTTAGAAAGAAAAATATCATGTCTATTATTATTCAAGTATTTAGCATAAAAGAATTTAGAAATGTGCCCTTCTGCTACATTTTTTGAAATGTATTCAAACCAGCATGCAATTAATTCCAAATTTAAAGCAATTCAGAACCAGTCTAAAAATTTCAGCAACTATAAATTATAATTTTTAAATAAGAAAATACTGCACAATGGGATAGTAATATTGATCGCATTGCTATAAAATATATCATTTGCATGGCAATCATATATATGCAAATAAAAACTACTGCTACTTTCTAAATTTGAGTATCTCATAAGGCTAAGTCTTCTCTCTTTATTCTTCAACATAAGCGGTTCCATCTGCATCTGATCCAAAGCAAAAAGCATTTGTGGAGATTATCATGTTATTTAGAGTTAATTATGAGATTAGTGATCATACCTACAAAGTCACATTCATTGTATTTGAGAGATTTTTCTTTTTCCATTCCCCCAGGTGAATGCAGTTATTTTAGCAAAGAAGAGGGAAAAGAAAAGAAAAAGCAGATGAGAAAAAAGAAATAGAGGAAAAAAGAGAGAAACAAAGAAAGAGGTGAATGGCAGATTCTTGTTTCATTAATTTTTTATTTTAAATAGAATAAAAAAGTTTAAAAACATTAAAAATGATACAGAATTTCAAAACAAGGTGATAGGACATCAGATTTCTTATCTTTTGAGACTTCTGTTTTAATTTTTTTATTTTAAAGAGAAAAAAGAATAACAACAACAAAGACAAAAATAAAACAACACAAAAACAATAAAAATGATTCAGAATTTCAAAACAAGATGATAAGAAATTAATAATGGTTGTTATATTACATATTGTTATCTTCAACGAATTTGCTCAGATTACCAGATGTAAGAATGGAAGATTGAGTGAACAATTAAAGGGAATAAAAACTTTTTTTAAAAAATTAAGAAACAATAGAGAGTTTCACTAAACAAGATGGTAGAAATTCAACAGTGGTTGTTATATTGCATATTGCTAGCTTCAAAATAGTTGCTCAGATTACCAGATATAAGCATGCAAAATTGGTTTTAAAAAATTTAAGAATTAACTGTTCCTTTCAATAAACCCATAGACATCAGCAGTATAATTATCCCAGCTATCCTTGTATATACATGTATATTTTTCCCTTCCTTCTTTCTTTCTTTTCTCTTTTCACTCATCCCAGTTGTTCCTTCCCTTTGAGCAATTTCTTTCCCTTTCACAATATCTTTTGTATCTTTCAGGTTTAATCTATTCTTTCAAGTTCTTACACTAGGGAGACAATATAATGTTTAAACATGCAGGTCTGATTTATTTCACTTATATGTATGGTCTCTAGTTGCATCTATTTACCTATAAAAGCCTCAAGTTTATCTTTTTTACAGCTGAGTAATACTTCATTGTATAAAAATACATCTTTCTTATCCATTCCTCTGTTGATGTGCATTTGGGTTGTTTCCAAGATGTAGCTATACAACACAGGTGCACATATATTGTTGTGGTATGTTATTTTCAGTTCTTCTGGAACAATATCCAGACTGGGAATAGCTGGGTTGAATAAGACTGCTAACCCTAGTTTTGGGAAGAATCTTTACACTGATTTCCACACTGGTTGTACCAGTCTACACTCCCATCAACAGTGGAGAAGGATTCCTTTTTCCCCCACAGCCCCTCCAGCATTTTTTATTGGTTGATTTCTTGATGATAGCCATTCTTTCTGGAGTGAGATGGAATCTCAGTGTTGTTTTAATTTGCATTTCTTGGATGACTAATGATGTTGAACATTTTGTCATATATTTATTTGCCATCTGTATCTTTTTCATCTGATAAGTATGTGTTCATCTCAGGTGCCCATTTTTGGATTGGGTCTTTGAATTTTGGAGGCGTGATATTTTTTAATTCTTTATATGTTCTTTTTTTATTTTTTTTATTTTAAAAATAAAAGGAGGAAAACATTAACAGACAGACAACCTTTTACAAAATAGCAAAAGAACAGTACAGACAATACAGAGTTACAAAGTGGTAGGAAATTAACAATGCTTGTTGTATTACATATTGATATCTTCAAAGTGGTTTCTCATGAAAACAGATAGAGACATGCAATACTGATCAATCAAGGACTCACTGACAGTTTCTTTCAGCAAAGAAATAGAAGACAGTAGAACAACTATGTTAACTATCCTTTATATACATACATGCAAAATTTCTCCTTCTTTCCCTTCTCTTGTCCCACATCCCAATTGCCCTTTACCTCTGAGTGTTTTCCTATCATTTCACAATGTCTAACACACCTACTAGTTTAAATTAACTCTTTCAGGTTTTACACTAGTGAAACAATGTGGTGCTTGCACATGTATGTCTGATTTATTTCACTTATGAGTATGGTCTCTAGTTGTGACCATTTACCTATAAAAGCCTCGAGTTTATCTTTCTTCATAGCTGAGTAATATTCCATTATACAAAAGTACCACAATTTTCTTATCCAATCCTCGGTGGATGGACATTTGGGTTGCTTCCACAATTTAGCAATTACAAATTGTGCTGCTATGAACATAGGTGCACATATTCTTTATATGTTCTAGATAAAAGTCCTTAATCTGAGGGACAGTTGGCTAAAATTTTTTCACAATTCATAGGTTTTCTTTTCACTCTGTTGGTGATTTCCTTCGATGTGCAAAAACTGTTTGATAAGATAAGATCCCAGTTGTTGATTCTTTGTGAAGTATTTCTCATGCAGTTTGGTTTTTGCTCATGAACTCTTTGCCTACCCCTATGTCTTCAAGATTTCTACCCACTTTCTCTTCCAGTACATTGTGTTTCTATTTTAATATTTAGATTTTTAATCCATTTGGACTTTAGTGCATGATGATAGATATAGGTCTAATTTTAGTCCTCAGCATGTGGAGAGGCAGTGTTTTCAGCACCATTTATTAAAAGGCTATCTTTCTTCCAGTGAACATGTTTGGCCCCTTTGTCGATGATATGGTGGCTGAGTGTCTGCAGTTGTGTCTGCATCTTCTACTCTGTTCCATGAATCTTCAGGTCTGTTTTTTGCGGGTACCATGCTGACTTTATCACAGTAGCTTTGTAGTCAGGGATTTTGATGCCTCCTGCCTTGTCTTTGTTGGCCAGGAATGCCTTTGCGCTTGTAGATCTCCTCTGTTTCCAAATGAATTTCAGGAATATATTCTCTAGATCTGTAAGTTGTGCTAATGGTATTTTGATCAGGATTGCAGTAAATATATATAACAGTCTTGGGAGTATGGCTATTTTCACAATGTTGGTTCTTCCTCTCGGTGACCAAAGAATATCTTTCCACTTTCTGAAATCTTCTTCAATTTCTTTTTTTCAGAACACTGTAGTTTTCACTGTATAGATCTTTTACTTCCTTTGTTAGATTGCTTCCGAAGTCTTTCATTTTTTTGCTGTTGTGAACGGTGTGGTAAAGATGCTATTGTGAAAGGTATGGTTTCCCTAATTTCTCTCTCAGTGTGTTTGTTGTTTGTGTATGGGAATCCTATTGATTCTGAGTGTTCACTTTGTGTCCGGCTGCATTACTGAATTTTGTTATTAAATCTTCAAGTCTTTTGGTGAAGTTTTTGGGATCTTCCATGTAGAGTGTCATGTCACCTGTAAATAATGGTAATTTCACTTCTTCATTTCCTGTCCTTATTCATCTTATTTCTCTCCTGTCTAACTGCTCTGGCTAATGTTTCCAGAACTATATTGAATAGGAGTGGTGACAGTGGACATCCTTGTCTTGTTCCTGATTTTAAAGTAAAAGTTAAAGTTTTTGTCCATTTAGTATGATGTTGGCAGACTTCTTGCAAATGACACATGGCAGTTGGAAATTTTTAGTGAATTTATAACTTTGCTTTTGGGGAACTAGAGCATCTATCAGCGTTTATTTAGCTGTATTATTTGTGAACTTTCAGGAAATGTCCATGAGGGGCTTTCAGAATCTATCTTGAGTAAAATATCTTTGTAATGAATCTTCAACAGGAGATAAACATCAATTTGTGATTGAATTTAATAATTTCCTCATTATCCTAAGAGGAAACTACATTCATTTGTATCATATCTATTTCCCCTCTTCCTTATGGATACTGTATCAATAAAATTAAGTAGGCAAAAAGAGATCAGAGAGGAGTATAAAAAATGAGAACAAAAATTTAGTGAATACTTTAACAGTAGCGCTACACGCTCACATTGTATTCTCATAAATAACTTCTCCCCCATGAGTTATGTCAGATACTAATAACAGCAATTATTTTCCAGAACAAAGCTCCTTTAATTTTGACAAGATTGATAACCAAGATCACTGGTCAGGAGGAGCACAGTTTCCCTGTCCTCTGGTTCACAAACTTAATCCGTTCCATGATTCTGAGGAAGATGACTGTGATTGTATTCATTACCCCATGTGCAGTTTGCAAACAGAAGCAAATTTGGCCAAATGCTTCTGCTTGTGAACCAAATTGTGAACAAAAGCATTTGTAAAGCAAGGTATCATTTGTACTTCCTTTTATATATTAACTTCAGTATCTAGTTACTAAACTAAAACAACGCGAGATTGAAAATAATCTTTAGGTATTCTGTAAATTAATTCATTGTGAATTATGACAGCTTTTACATATCTCCCCCCCAACTAACTAGATCATAATCTTTAGAAGATCCAGAAGCATTTCCATTTTTAGGAAGAATCCATTGATACAGAATAGGCACTAAAGAAAAATAGCAAGTAAATGAAACACATATCTACTGTCATTTGTGTACACATTCCTTCCTTAGCAAAAGGGACAGTTTATGATAAATTCTGTAGTAAGAGACAAATGTCATGTCCTCTATGAAGTCATATCCTGAATTTTAAAAGCCTAGTTAGATGGGGACCCATAAACCTGTGTCTGCCCCTGTCCAAGAAACGTCAATAGTCCACTGGGTTAAAGTTGACTAATTTTCTCTCCTGCTTATTTAGAATGGATTTCCAGTGACTAATAAAAGGCCTGGACTATAGGAAGTGGTCAACAAATATTTGATGAATTAATCAATGGAAGAAATATTATAACAATATATCAGTGTACACAAGTCACATAAATATGATATATGCAGCACATAAAATATATGCTTATCTTTTCAAATTGACTTTAAAATTTCATGCAACTTTTTGATTGCAGCAATTACTAGGTAAGCTGATAGGTACATTCAAGATTGAGAACCCAAACCACTAAATACTAAATCTTTTCTTCATACTTATAAAGTTTCTTGCAAAAAGAAATCTTGCTTTTGTGGTACTGGGGATTGAACCCAAAGGCACTCTACCACAGAGCTATATCACCAGCCCTTTTATTTTTTATTATGAAACAGGAGACAGGCTCTCATTAAATTACCCAGAAAGACTCAAACTTGCATTCCTCCTGCCTCAACCTTCCTACATACTGAAATTACAGACATGCATGCCCCACCATGCCCTATTGAAAAGAAAAATCACTTATTTACAAAAAACTTGACTTTTAAAGTTAAAGTGGAAATACTGATTACTAGGACTTAAGTTAAAATATAAAATTAATTAGAGAAGAGAATAATGATTAAGTTCACCAAAAACAGAGCAAAATCTCAACTTCTATATTAGTTTATATTTTTCCTTTCATCATAGAATGTTACTTTGACCTTTAAAATTGGATTTAAATGATGCCAAACTCATAGAAAAAAAGAAAGATTTCAAATTTTTATATCTGCTTTTATTCTTTAATAAAGCTTTTTAAAATTTGGATAATTTCTAAGATTTTTGTATCATGATTTTCATAGTAGTTGATGATTTCACAAGTTTTGTAGAATTTCATTGCATAAAGAAAATAACAGGGCCACTTACTGTGCCAAGTTTTATTTAGTACTTACCTCTCTGTAAACTTTTTTTCCACTATATGTCATACAAGCACCTGAATCACATGCACATGACTCGGAAATTGAGTCAAAATTACTTCCCCAATCAGCAGGTCCATTGACCAAACCACAGCATTCAAACTGTTTAGTGAAAATGAGATGAAAAGTAGTCACCAAAAAGATTAAAACATTATACATACATTTAATTGTATTTTCCTAAATATTATTATGAAGATAATTCTTATGTTGAAGTATAATACAAGTCACCACTCCCTCTTCTCTAAGTGTAGCAGAAAAATAAAAGATTTTTTCTTTCATTTTGGTCTTAATAGTAACAGAGGAAAAATTGGGCTAAGATGCCAAGTCTGCTTTAAAATTCATGAAAGTATTTGCTCAACACTACAGTTGATTTAGAGTTGAGAGTAATGATTGATAATAGGCATGAGAAACACTGCATTGTATAAAAATGATGGGCACTGGGTTGTTTCCAAGATTTTGCTATGACAAAGTTTATGGCATTTTCATAGAATGGAGCATTACTCAGCAATAAAGATACATTTGAGACTTTTATAGATAAATAGATGCAACTGGAGACCATACTGATAAGTGAAGTCAGACCCACGTATATGAACATTGTATTGTCTCTCTAGTCTAAGAACCTGAAAGAGTAAATAAAACTGAAAAGTATAATAGATATTGTGAAAGGGAAAGAAACTGCCCAATAGGAAAGAACAACTGGGATGAGGTAAAGGAGAAAAGAAAGAAAGAAGGAAGAAAAAAATACATATATACATACATATATATACATACATATATATATACACACACGATAGCTAAGATAATTGTACTACTAATTTCTATTGATTTATTGATAAGAACAGTTAATGTTTAATTGTTTGCTCAATCTTGCATATCTACAGCTGGTAACCTGGGCAACTACTGTGAAGATAACAATAAGTAATTCAACGACTATTATTGATTTCCTATCATCTTGCTTTGCAATTCTGTATCATTTTATAGTGTTTGTGTTGTTTTTGTATTTGTTTTTGTTATTTTGCTTTTGTTCTTTTCCCTTTAAAATATTAATAAGAAATAATAATAAGCATGAGAAACTGAAAGAGTAAATAAGGTCCAAAATGTACAATCGATATTGTGAAAAAAAGAAGAAATTGTTCCAAAGGTAAAGAAAGTAGGATGGGAGAAAGGGGAAAGGAAGGAAGGGAAAAGGAAATTAATCTGTACAAGTGAGTTACACTACTAGTTTCTCTTAGTTCACTGAAAAGAAATGTTTGCTCTAATATCGCTTAGAGAATTTTTAAGCCTATATCTTATACTCTAACTACTTTAAAGATAACAATACTCAATGTATTAACTATTGTTATTCTCCTCTTATTTTGTTATGAAATTTTGTTTTTCCATAAAACTTCTATGGAACAGAATCTAATTTTAAAGATGGTCCAACAATGAATTTAAACTGACAAATTGCTTTAAAAACCTTGCTTTCTAGTTTTAATGACAAAAGAGAGCACAGAGTCAGATGCATGTATCTTAGATTTTAGCAAAGAAGCTTCCAAAGAGTGCATGAGAGAGTGAAGGTCTCATTAAAGAACTGTTATTCAAAAGAAATGAAAAGTTTTAACAAGAAGATTTCCATTTCAGGATCTCTGATCACTTTTGGAAGAGAGGGGAAAAGAATGAGAAGCACTTCAAAGACCAAAACACTCAATAATATGTATTAGCTGTTATAATTTTTTATGTGTCGTTATTGTTATAGTTTTTCCTGTTTTCACATGAACATGAGCTCTTCAACATTCTTATAAATTGTCTGTATAGGCACAGAAGTTTGTGTTCAATACTACAGTTGATTTAAACTTAGGAGTATTGATTAATATGCTATAAAACAGATTCTGGTTTCAAGGTGGTCCAACAGTGAATTTAAACTACCAAGCTCAACTAGGCAAATATAAAGTTTTGAACCTTGATGCAAAGATGGAATTGCAAAGAGCTGGAAATTTCAGGTAGATTCAAGATCAGTATTAGCAAGGACAGTCCTGAAACAACCTCCTTTCTTGTTCCATGGCACACATGACTAGCTGTTTACACTTTCTCATTACATAATGTTGAATGGTTTTGATATACACTCTATATCAAATAAGAATAAAACCCCCGTATTCACTCATAAATCACTCCATATTTGGAATACAATATACCTCTGTATTCTTAGGGAGGCAGAAAAGGAAATACAGTATAGGTAGGAAGACTATAAAATATTTCTGGTCTCTATATCATCAGTGGAAGAAGCTAGGGAAGAAATTTCACAGAACTTAATGAAAGTTGAATAGCAGTTGGGTGAAAAGAACATTATGCAGTCAGTTATTCAGCACCTCTTGAGAAATAGCTATCACTAATAATCCATAGCAGGCATATCCCATGAAATGTTAAAGGGAATTTGTGTGGGAATTTCCTGAAATCCAAAAAGAAAGCTACTTAGCATCTGCTACTGTCTATGTGGACGGGTCACTGGGTCAGAGTTTATGGTTTAGAGAAGGGCCCTTTTCCCTGAAGAAGTATAACTTTAAAAAAAGAAAAAATAAAGTGGATAAATGAACAGAAAATAAAAACAAATTCAGAAAGGATAATAAGAAAGAAATATTGTCTATAAACACAAGAGCTTCCAGAACATGATTTCAGCACAGAAGGGAAGCATATCAGGAGAACATTCTGCAGCACACAGAACATTCAGAAACCCACAGAAACCTTGAGTTCCAGAAACAGTGTGCAGCAAAAATAACTCAAGACATAACCCAGAAGCTAGGTGGTTAACTCTCTTTCATTATTTCCTGTGCTGGCTTACTAGAGAGGGTCAGAAATCTAAGCCCCACTCTGTGAAAGAAGTGTAGTTACCTAAATTTTTACAGCTTTAATTATATTAGTTTGTGCTCTAGAGTGGGAATGATCCAGGAGAGGAGACAGAAGTTGTAGCTACAGGGAAGCTAGGGAAAAAGCAAGAAGTGGAGGAAGTTAAATGAGGACTGATTTATACCAGGTTTCAGTTCTCGGAAGCAATGTTTTAGGTAGAATATTTTATAAGCTGTAGTAAATCCAAATAGGAACTGGTAAATGCTATGGGAAAACAATGTCATCTGATAAATAGCTGTCCAGAAATTAAGGGTGTTTCAACTTGCAAGGCAAAGCTTTAGGAGTGAAGCAACTGCAATTTTCAAAAAGTCTGCCATGTAGGAGCACTGATGGTCTTTGTTCTTCCTTTTAAACTCTGGAGGAACTGGGACTAAATGGTACAAATCCTAAAGAGGCAGATTTTATCTGAAAATAGGAAAGAACACCACAGCCATCAGACTTAAATACAAATGGGATAGGTAAAAGTTGGTAAACTTTCAGCTTTTTGATATCTACTGGTGAATATGCATAAATATATAATCAGTCAAAGAAATGTCAGGATAAATGACCTATGAAATCCAGCCCTCCACTAAGATTCTGAAAATTTCTATGACACACCTGAAGTGAATGCTACTAGTAGTTAACATGATGGGAATTCTGAATAGAAATGTGTAACTAAGAAGAGTTTTACAGAGTGGCTAATATTTTAGTCAAGCCTTAAAGTGCATGGATTTAAAAAGAAAGAGAAGAACTGTAAGTACATTCCAAGGATGAGGAATGATGCAATGGCAGGAAGACAGAGTTGCTCAAGGGACCTTGAGTGGACGAACCTGGCTGGACACGATTCTTAAGGGAATAGTGTTTAGTAAAGTTAAAAGATTGGGTAGGAGCCAGATAGAATAACATCAGTGCCTGCCGAAGTTTTTATTTCATCTCAAAGACAAAAACAGAGAGAGAGAGAGAGAGAGAGAGAGAGAGAGAGAGAGAGAGAGGCAGACAGAAAGATAGACACAGACAGACAGAGACAGAGACAGAGACAGAGATGGAGAGAAGGAAGGAGAGAGAGGAGGATAGAGAAAAGAAAGGAGGGCTAGTATACACATTAAAAAATAATAGACTTATCAGATAGATCTGGATTCAAATTTCAATTCCATTACCACTTGTTAGTTTCAGACCTCTCTAATCCCAGTCTCCTCATCTGTAAAATAGGGTCAATGAAAATAATGATATCCCCATCTGCTATGGTTTGGGTGTGGTTTAAGTGTGTTCTTTAAAGTTTCATGTGCTGGAGACCCCAGTGTAGTGAGTGAGGAACTTTTAAGAAGTGGGATCTACTTAAATCAAGATAAATGGATTACAGCTAGTCTGCAGGATTTAATAAGTCCTACAGGAGTGAGCTCATTTTCAAGAGAATGGGTTATTATAAAAAGAGGGCTACTAGACCTCTTGCTCCCAGTCTCACAGGTGATCTCTCCTATCCCAACTCACACCATTACAAGCTATCCTCCATCAAGCCCTCATCAGAGCTCACTTGGTGATGCTGCTGTGTACCTCAAATCTCCAAAACTGTGAGTTAAATAAATTCCTTTTGTTTACAAAATACTCAGCCTCAGGTGATTTGTTATAGTCACACAAAATAGACTATAACACTACCTCATAGTCTGCATATTAAATGAACTACTGTGTGTAATGGAGTCTAAAGTAAGTAGCAGTAAATGTTAATTATATTCACTTTATAGAGAGGCACAGACAGATAGACAGACAGACTCCCCAAACACACTACTCTTTAAGATGGTAAACATGAAGACAGTTATTGATTGGCCCAATTCAACCTCAATCTGTCATAAACATATCTTTTTAATCTTTGTCCTAAACTCCTTCAAGACTTCATGAGAAGATGGGAAAAAATTATAAATATTCTTGAATTGATCTTATTGCACAGTACCAGAACACTCAAACTTGCAAAATGGAGACATTTTACATCAGTAAGGGATAAGCCTCTTAAAAAATAAAACTTTGAAGAACTATGTCTAACTCCCCAAATGACCTAAAAACCTAATTACCTTTTTCTGAAATGTAGTCATGGCTTCTCGAAATTCTTTTCCATTATCCCCTGTTTGCTGCAAAAGCTTTACATTTTCATAGAGAGTTTCATTCAGAATGCGTTTAGTCTGAAAATTGAAAATCATAGTGAAATTATTCATACCCTTAATATTTCAATGTTTTAGACTTTTCCAAAATGATAAAACATCAGCAGTGTACACACCTGAGATTGGGAAGTAGCTCCTAGGATACCTGCAGCCACCTGCAGGAGCAGGATCAGAAGCAAGCCTATGAAAAACTGAAAAAGAAAAGGTAGATGGGTAATAACACACCATTATCCTCAGCACATTCACTAACAGCTGGGGCATTTTGACATGGCACTTTCCTTGACAGCAGGGATTGAATCACAGTTGGAGCATGAGCCATGATCTTCATTTATTCCACCCTTTGTGTCAAGCTATAAATTTTGATTCATTACTACTCAGAAACACTTGCTTCAAAAATTAACCAAGGAAAGTGTTTCAAATGAAATTTTACTGACAGAACTGTTGGTATCTGTGTGATATAAAAGAAAGGGAAGTTTTAAAACTTAAATCAATTTGTTTGAATATTATTTTTCTTCTCCTTTTTCATCAGGTACAAACACACAAACTCAGAACTGGCTTCAAAACAGTATTCCTTCAGTACTCAATACTGCGTCATCCTGTTTTATATGTAAATTTCTGAAATCTCCCTCACATCTACTGAATCATAATTTTTGAGAACGGAGCCCACTGATTTTTGTTTTTTTTCTGGTTTTTATTTTGGTTTTGTTTTGTTTTGTTTTTTTTAAATGGGGCTTACAAGTAAATTCTTCAAACTGCAAATTCAATCTTGTTACTCAAAAAGCAACCACTCAGGATGCTACTAGGGTCTTCTTAAACTGTCTCTGCTTCTCACAAAAAGCAAAAAAAAAAATTTCAGGAACTGACACAATCTTTATTTTATTACAGAAACAGGTCTATCCTGGCTCTGATAAAATCATGTCTAATTTATATCTGATAAACACTTGATTTTTTCTACAATATATCCATTCATCGTTTTCTATCATACGTTAAAAGTGAATTCCTGTAAGTTATTCTACCCCAACTTAGCCTCCCGAAAGCTTGCTAAGTGATAGAACGCGTTATCTCACTCCCTTACAATTTTCCTAGCATGGCATGTAGTAAACTGTATGATCTGACCACAGTCCACATTAAGGCTGTCTCCCATCACTTACTGAAAACAGCGTCTGTCCCTCCCCAGCCACACCGCAGCCTGCCAGTTCCGGGAACAGCCCGCAATGGGCTGACTGCCAGTTTCTCTTCCTGGCTGCATCACTCTCTCACCCATACAGGCACTTTTTCACCCGCTCTGGCTTGCAAGTTCCCTCTTCTATCTTTTTCCTTCTCTTCTGGGGTCACTCACTCCCTCTACAGCTATTTGTTTACTTAGTAACCCTCCCCAGTGGGTTCCAGTTTTCTTAAGGTCTTGTGAACATTTAACACAATGTCTGGCTCTTAGAGGTGTCATGTCTCATGAAAAAAATGAATGAGTGATTAACATCTGTCTTCTCGCAGACTATCTTCTAGTCTAAGCCAAAGTAAGATAAATCAAAACCATATTAGCTTCCACATCAAATCCTCTAAGCAGAAGTTCGCATTCATCTATCTTGTCAAATCCTGTTGACAGATAATAGGGACAAGAGATAATCTTCAGGAATCTAAAGGTTAAATATTCGGATTGGTCTGGAGAACCCACCAAGAGAAGCATGCAGCGGCTTTCTTTCATGGCACCACAACAGCCCAGGAACCCCAGGACCATGATAATGGCACCCACAGCAATCAAGATATTCACAGCAACAAAGGGGTTGGCCTCAGAATTTCCAGAAGTGAAGACCTGGGAATAAAGGTGAGATTAATGACACATTCCTCTCTTTGATGTTTATTTTTATCGTTTAACAAATACCAATTGAGTACCTACTATGGGTGTTTTGGGACTTTGAAATACATCCAAGCAAAAATCCCTGCCCTCATGGACCTTACACTTTGTTGAGATTACAATTTCCCAAATAATATTTTTAATTTTAAGTCATTCTAAAATGACATTAGAAGTTGGATAGAAGAAATGTCATGGCTCTTTTAAAACTTTTTAAAAGTTGAAAAGGATGTAGTTTCCTCTTGTAGTTTTTGGTGCACACATTTTGCATTTTGTCAATGGTAATTTAAATCTTTTAATTTTTTTTAAAAAGAACCCAAGCACCATCAAAACACTTAAAGACACAATTTAAATAAATCTCAGAACCAACATGTTGAGCTCAAGAAACCATACCTAAAAGCATGAATATTGTATGATTCCAGTTATGTGAAATTCAGGAACAGGCAAAACTGTAGTGATAAAAATCAGTGTTTGCCTTGGAGCAAAGTCGGAAGGAAGGCAAAAATTGACTAAAAAGGGACAGGATGGAAGTTTTATAAGTAATAAAAATTCTTTGTATTTGGTCTTTTAAAAAGCCCAGTTCCTGAAATTCCATACCCACCTATCTTCTCATTCCCAGAAGGAGCAGTCCTTCCAGAAACTCATTATTTCATCCACTGTTTGCGATCAGTAATAGGATATTGAGGGAAACAGCCTAGGACCCTTTATGGTGGGTGGGCTGCCTTTCGGGCGTAACTCAGTTCTCTCAGGGACACAGGGATAATCTTTATTGCTCTCGTAACACTTGGCCTTAACCTACCCTTGTTCCTCCCTGAACGTGCAGGAATTAAAGAGCAAGAACTAGTTCCCACGCTCTACCTGTTCCCCACATCCAATCTCTTTGTCTCCTGTAGCTTCTACCTACTGGGCTGTCTCCAGCGAACACTAGCGCCCCTGCCAGCTGAAAGACTCTGGCTCCAGGAATGCCATGCAACCTGTGGGTCACAGCCACCTTCACAGCCAGTACAAAAATAACTGCTACCTCTACTTAGAATCCTTCTGTCTTGGCAACTTTTTAAAATCCATTCATGACCTATAGGAAACCTTGCTGCAACCATGAGTAGGAAGGAAACTGCTGAAATTATGCAAGCATTAAAACAGACATCTTTATTTTCCTCAGAGTCCTAGAAGTAACCAAGTTTGTAACTCTAGGATAGTCAACAAACCTGTTGGGCCCCAGCTTTCTATTTATAAAGGGAATTGTGTCAGTCAGTCCTGTGTTTTTAAAGCCTCCTTTGTCTCTAAAACTCTGCGCTAGTAGCTAATGTTTCAATCTACACATTTAAAAACTTTGATCTGTCCTAAAGATTTTCATTTGTTTGGCAGATATTTATATTTGTTTTATCATTAAGATTGTTGCTAAGAAATCCCCCTGTTAATAAACAGGAATAACATCCAGGTTATAATAGATGTGACATGAAAGCAGCTCTATCAACCCACTGCTAAATAGGCTCACAAGAGCATTGCAGCCAGCACAGACAAATCCTGGGGCATCAGAGAGGTAGAAGACATGCTCCTGGGCTATCAGGACTTCAGGTAGCTAGTCCAGACAGAGCAATAATGGAGCAAACGTCTACACAGGAGGCCTGCATAGTGCCGTTGGCCCCTGGGCAGCAACTGAGGAGCTGCTTCACTGAGACTGACTAGGGCATGGGAACCCACTGCCAGGGACCGGCTGGAAAGCTGTGTGTGGACTGCCTGGCAGGCGCTCTTCCAAGTCCAGCCCAATAAATGGCTTTTCTTATGGAAGAATGAAGGAGAATTCTGAGTTCAGATGTTTGCTCCAGCAGACACAGCAGGGTTTTAAAGACTGTTTTGGATGAACACAGTCTCTGTGCGTTCTAAGAGAAGGGGAGAAAAGGGACCGTTAGGCCTAAAAGGATTCTGGAATTATCTTTGAATTAGAAGGGATTTTCTGGGGCAACGATGGCCTCCTTATGCTTTGCCTCCTGGTGCTGAATTTATCAAGGGAAAAAAAGTATCCCCTGAGGCACTCCAGCAGAAAGAGATAGCATCTCCCTGACATGCTTTTCCTTCTCAAGCTGCTGCCTTTGTTATTCCGGTAATAAAATTTAGCTCTTCTCTCGGTTTTGATTTTTTTTGTCACTAACTTCAGGAAAATACAAATCAAGCCAATTTCATATAAGTCAGGCTGGGTAATCTTGACCTGCTCATGGCAAGTGGCAGGCAGCACACAAGTCAAATCGAACTAAAGATGCCGTCTAGCTCTATTAGTTCACTCCCGTCCCCAGATGTGGAGTCACACCCTCTCAAGGACTCCAGCGCTCCTTTAATATGTGCAGTGTGTGCAATTTCTTAACAGACTAAACACCAAATTTGTTTACCAAAAATTCTGGGGAGAAAGAAACTATTAACCAGAAATAAAAGAATAAAATGGAATACAATGCAGACTGCATACATATCTTTAAAAGGCCAAAGCACCCAAGAATTGATGGCTGTTTGCTCTCTGCTCCATTAAGAGCCCTGAAGTCAGCCAGATTCTGCACACCTTCACCTTCCTTGGGCCCAAACATCAGATCCCCAGGCCATCAGGAAGTCAGGGTTCATTAATACAAATTATAAATGTAACTCAGAGAAATGCATACCTCATCCTCTACTTGCCACACCCACCCCACCCTGTTTCTTTATCATGGCAAGGCATAAAATGAGGAAGCAGCTAACTTGCTCCAAGACTGTCTGGGTTCTCTTGGGGAAGAGAGGGAGATTAATTGCCAAAAAAGCTAAGCACTGCAGGAAAGGAAACAGAACAAATTTAAAGATTAATTTGTTTTTACTCTTTCTTCCCACTAGGCTGTCTCCAAAGGCATTAGCTACACCGTAGGACAGTCTAATAAATTCTAGGAGAAAATGCATGGTTCTTCATTGTAGGCTAATCTTTATAATTATCAAAAAAAACCTCAAACTTGGTCTTCCTTAGTGGAAGGAGACTCTCTTCATTTGGACAGAGCATCTGAAAAGCCTGTAGCAACAGAATTTTTGATTCTAAATGGTGACAAGAGCCTAAGTAACCAACAAGAACAAGAAAACCACTCTGTATGAGGTAAGAATAGTAACTGTGGGGCAGAGATGCTGCTGAAAAAGAGAAGGGAAGGAAAAGAACAGAAGTAAGGACTCTGAAACGTGGTGCTATATAGCCCTGTATCAGAAAAGACTGACAGAACAGCAGCCCACACACTCACTCACCCTTTTCCCCTTCCTTCCATATTTCTGACACCATGGTACAGAAGAGAAATAATGCATGTGGCATCCAAAGAATGGAGCCAGAACTCACCCTATGAATTAAACTTCTTCCATACCTGTGGAAATGGTAAAAAGCTTTGCCCCTGGGCGTCAGATACAGTGTGGTGGGCAAAATAAGTCATCTTAATCTTACACGGATAGCAAGAAGCAGGGTCATCTCCCATCAACTAGAGAGTTACACTAGCACAACAAGCCTTTGTTGTTGGAGGGGCTGCCCTTAATGCCAGTTGCTGCAGGCAAATACCAACAATCCTTATATTTTGCTGCCTTTAAAACATATAAGATTTTGTCTGATGTTTAGATTCATTTTCTTCTTCACTAAGAGAATTTCTTACCTCTTTTCTATTGGGTCAACCAGAAGTTCAGCTAATTTATGGTCATTGCCTTATACTATAAAAATTGTTTTTCTTGGGGAAAAGAGGCTGTCTGTATCCTCAAATTGGTCTTAAATCCTAAAGAAGGCAAATTTCCACTTTTCTTGATATCTTGCTAGTTTTGAGATAATATCTCCTCCATTCTTCAGAGTGAATGTTTCTTGCCTAGCACGAGGTCAGGCACATAATCATTAAATATTAACTCGCATATCATCACAAAAGATTACATTAAGAAAAACACTATAGAAAGACATTTTGTTATTGTCATTACTTTGATTATTATAAGAGAAGTCTATCACTTTATTTATATATATTTACCTCGTTACCATCTTTGCTTACTCGTATCCATATTGCTATTCCCAGGATTAAGGTACCACATAGCTGCAGAAGAAAAACAAACAATGTCAGAGTACAATTAAGATAAAATAACACACTCATGAGACATACATTTTCTATCTGGTTGTAAGAGTTTATCATTAACTATTCCGTTACAGCCTGACAGATAAATGAGACACATTTCATATAGATAATGGCTGAATTGTTCCACTGTAATTGATAAGTCTGATAAAAATAACTGCTTCTCATCCAGAGTCCATCTATGGGCTTATAGACGAGAACTCATCTCTACAAGGCAAGAATGATTGTTTCTCAGGATTTAATTGCAATTTTGATTTTTGGCTAGATTGTAGCATACAAAAGGTATATATACAAAAACTTAAAACAGTTTAAAGAGGAAATATCTTCAGTATGCCCTTTGTTTGATCTCACAGAAGTTGTTCTGGACCAAGATGGAAGGGAATAACTGACTAATCACCAATTAGTCACTTGAGATTCGAGAGGGAAATTGAATTTTGATCCACAGAAAACAGTAGGGCATTGGATAAAATGTGTAGCTAAGCAACAAGGGAATATAATAACCGATACTTTTTGAACCCAAACAAACTTTTAAAAATAAGTTCTTTTAGGTGGTAAAGTTTACACAGAGAGAAAGAACAATGAAAACCAGTACTCAGTCTTAAATTCCTTTAATGACTTTACCAGATTATTTAATTTGGATCAAGGCCAATAAGTAAAATGTGAAACACATTTTACTCTAGTATAAGGGAAACCCTTGTCTTTCAGGGTTTAAAAAAGACATATGTTGTATGCTCAAAAAAAATCAAAGATGTATTATTAGATAGCTGTGATGAGAGCAGCCTGGTAAGATACCAAAAACAGCAGGTCTTGGAGAATTTTCTAGATGTTTCTGACCCTGCCAATCTCTGACACAGAAATGTCTAAGTACTGGAAAACCCAGTAATCTTGGGGCATCACTGCTTTCAGTCACCACCAGTGAGCCCTTACCCAGAACCACTGCCTCCAGCATCAGTTTTAAAGGTTTCTCATTAGGTTTGCAGTAGAAATAAGGTCAAGAGCTTTATAAAGAAGGGAGCACAATGCAAAGCTGAATAACCATAGACTCTGACTCCCTAAAAGACCTCAGAAGTCGTCTGTCAATCTTACATGCTTATATCTGGTAATCTGAGCAACTACTCTGAAGATAATGATATGCAGTATAATACCATTGTTAATTTCCTATCATCTTGATTTGAAATTCTGTATCATTTTTTATTTTTTTATTCTCTTTAAAATAAAAAAGTAAAAAAAAAATTGGAATACTGAGAGATTATAGTCGCATCTAGAAAATTCAGAGCAATTCCTAATCAATCCACCCTTATTAAGTATATAATTCCATTTCCACAAACTAATTCCAATTATTTTAATATGCAATTTTTGTCTCCTTCCTCCCTCTCTCTCTTCCTCTGTCCCTGTCCCTGTCTCTCTCTAACAGAAATGATTAAACAAGACGGCTTTAGAGCTCAAAAACCTCCCTGAAGTCTCCACCCCTGCCTCCTTCCACTAAATCCCTAATTTCACTTTCAAATGGGCATAAATGTTCATTTTAGCAGTTTCTTGTCAATAAATCTGTAAGGATTTATGCCAAATGATATTGAGATTCTCCAGGATTTTCAGTAAATTTAGTATATGTGCTGCCAAAGACAGTATGTTTTCAGTAATTTCATACCAACTGGATTTATTATTGTTATATAACTTGCCCACTTATATTTTCTGTCTTTTGCTTCTCCTTTTACAGATAGATTTATAATAATTGTCTTAATAGCTGCTCTGGCCTTTAGCTTTACTGAAAATAATATTAATTATCTTCACATTCATTATAATTACCCATGTTTTGTAATATTTATTAAACTGAAAGATAATAAGTCTCAGAAAGTGTTGTATTTTTTGACACTTTACCTTTTACCTGTATATTATCATTTGTGTCATGTTTTCAAAGAATTTAGAAATTAAATCATACATGAATCTTATGAAATCAGTAAGTCTGTCCTTCCAGTGACACTTTTCATCTTCTCAGTTTCTGCGCACTGTCTGTAGCATGAACATGGAAAGAATTAGCTCCCAGTTGTTGTTGTTTTTTGGGGTTTTTTTTTGGTTTTGGTTTTTTTCCAGTACTGGGAATCGAACTCATGACCTTGCCATTGCCGCGCAGGTGCTGTGCTGCTGAGCTAAATCCTGAGCCCCCAGCACCCAGTTGTTTTACAAGTCAAGAATATTTGCCCAACTTCATTGTTCACAGATAAAATTCTTTTAGGGATATTGAAATTGGTTAAACTCTGATTTCCATTCCTTTTTCTACCCTTATTTCTCAAATTTCATTATAAAAATGAAAAGAAAGAAGTATTTGACATCTATTACTTTCATCCTGCTGGAAAAATGCACATGTAAGATCACAGTTTCAATATCATAAAATTAGTTTTTCTAATATCTAACCAGCATGGATGTCTTCTTACACTGTGCCAGAGCAGGCACTTTCATCTACATGCAAAATATAATTTTAACATGATGTACTTGTACATATAAATTTGACTATTGTTTTTATTCTATGTGTTTTGTGTTGTTCAAGAAAACAATTTGTTTTGGATTTTCATTCTCTGTACTCTGCATCTATCACCTTACTCACATTATTTTCATTTCTATGTCAACATCTCTAACGTGCTCTCTACACTGCATTTTTAATTCTGCTTGAAGTTTCTAGTTTATGTTAAGTCCTTGCTCATCTATTTCCTTTTTCATCTCACCTTAAAATATTGCAATTAAATTTATCATGTCTTATGGCCTCCAATCACTGTTTCCTGGGTGGGCATGGAGGGCATTTGCAGGCATAAGTTGGTGGATACCAATTTCCAGATACTTTTCTCAGGATTCTGCAGTGTTTTTCATCAGAGATGTGTGTCTGTTCTATAAATCATCAGAGTATTATCTTTCATTTAGTCAACAGTATTTCTTATTTGGCCTAATGCTAAATTTTGTTTATTCATCTTTGAATAAGATGAGGCCTATTCTTATTTATTATTCATTAAGAACAGGGTGGTTGCTTTGCTCCATGCTCTAATGACAAGGGTTAATGTAATTCTCAGATCTTTGATGAGAGGACAGCTTGCTGTGCATTCTCCTTACAGATGTGGCCTAAAGCAGCTCTGATTTACTTCAATGGTCTCCGTCCTTCCTGCAACATCTGATTTCCTAATGCTCTGGACCAGTGAGGTGAATTACAATCGTCAATCTTTAACAGACTCTGCTGTCATGGATTTTTCCTTAACTTCATCTCCAAATGGAAGTTTATTGCATCAGTGAGTATTAAGCATACAGTACATGCGCTCCTGCGGTTGCATTTATATGCATTTTTTAGATCTATTAAATAAATCAAAAACCCAGTACAACTCGTGGGAATTCTAATTTTTCAATATCTCTAAATTTATAGGGAAAAAAAAATCAGTCACCTTTCTTTTGGAAATAAACTGGACTTAGTAAACACAAAAATCACTAAAATTCAGATAGCTTCAAAATATGTTAAAAGAGATGAATGTTCAGCTTTTTCTCTGCATTCAAATGTTTGTGAACCCTGATGCAAATTCAGAAGTGTTTCCATTACATTGTTTCAAAAGCACAACTTCCATGTACGTAATGTCCGAGTACTCTAAATACACTTAAAGAATCAAGTGCAAGGATACAAATAACAGACCACAGACCTTAGGACTCTACTTTGAGAAGTTAAAAGTGAGGATAATGAGCACGGAAAAAAGTGTGTTGTCTTTGCCTACATTAAAAAAATGTGCCTGCAGAATGACCTGGAACACAGGGTGTGCTTTAGAGTTCTCAGGCTTCTCAAATGTGTGTGGCGGAAGGGAGCGGCACGCAGAGAGTGCACTCCAGTCCCCCCCTCAGTCTTCAGTTTTGAGCTGTCTGGGGGACCTCACCAGAAATGGATGTGGCTGCTGCAGTGTACAAACCCAAGGTCAGATTGCAATCTGCTCCCGTGTGTAGCAAACATCCTGTCATGATCAGCCCTGGGAAGGGGCGCATTTAGAACCTGGAAGCAGGTGTGGAGCCATTTGGGGAGAGAAATTTGGGGTCTTGGTACCCAAAATGAAAGCCAGCCTCAGGATGGGTATATTCCCTCTCTCCCCGCAGATCCCTTACTCTGAGCAGAAAAAGGAGGATCAGAGCAGAGCAAAAATTTAAATTTTTAAGTCCATTATGTATAAAACAGTACAATACCAGATTCAATAATTTTAAGTTAAAAAGCAATATTATTATTAGAATCAGAAAATAGTATCTATTGAACTGTTATTATATGTCAGTCCTTGGTATTAGGCTTTTATAGAATATTTCAGTTAGTCTTCATAGTTAATCCTTTCAGACAAATTTACCTTCAGTTTATAAAATTGGAGCCTGTGTCATAAGAAAAGTCAATAGAAATATTCTAGATCTCAAACAATAAGAAGTAAATTCAGGGGGCTGGGGATTTAGCTCAGCGGCAAAAGCGCCTGCCTGGCAAGCGCAAGGTCGTGAGTTCGGTTCCCGGTACCGGAGAAAAACCAAAAAAAAAAAAAAAAAAAAAAAGAAGTAAATTCAGGATTTAAATCTCTATCAGAATGAATCCATCTTTTCCATCCCTTTAACTTATGGTAGAATAATTCCTGCCTTCTTGACATCTTATTTCCTCCTCTTTTTTAAAACCAAAGGCTGAAAAATTAGGAAAACCCTAAATGGAGTAGTTTCATATTTCTGTCTAGTAAAATGCCTAGACAATGTGGATTGGAATATCCCTTTTTTTCCTCTTTCATTAATATAATTCTCAATTTCTTGTGTTTATCAACTCCTTTAATCAGTGCAACAGCCTCAGTAGATACTACTGCTATCCTTATTTTTATGGATGAACAATAAAGCACAGAGACCCTAACAAATTTTTTCAAGGAAGCACAGCTAGCGATGAAGAGCTGATGTCCAGCCTGAGCTCTCAACCCCTGGGCTTTACCACCTCTTGTCACGGCCATAGTGCAGCCAACATTAATTGTGTTATGAGAGGCAACCACTGTATTTACAAAGTTCATACGTTTTAGTCATTGTTCTATCTTTATCTTGGGGTATCTCATTAATTGATAGAATAAAATATTCTCATGTCCCATTATTTTCACAGTACCTCCATCTCAGAGTTATGCTTGCTTTATCCCCAAATTTTAGTTACTCTCAGCACATTCCATCTAGAGGCCCAGGTAATCCATAAAGTATGACGATAACGATGAAATGCTGGCTGCCTGATCATCGCTGTGCTCTATCTTCATGCCGAGCTCTATCTCTTGCTCTCTCCAAACACCTTCATGAATGAACTTCCTACAGCTGCTGACACATTTGGCTTTCTAGCTTGGCTCCTTCCTACCTTCCCTCGTCTGAGATTGTAATATCAGCTCACTCTGCTTTTCCTCATTAAGAGCTCTCCTCAAGCTGTCTCTGTCTCTGCTCATTAATATACTGCACATCTCCTAGCCTAAGGCCCTGTGTCTCTTGTTTACCCAAACTCCTTTAAATTCTAAGCATCTACAGTATTTCCAGATCTGCCCTGTCTGAGAACATAAGGAAAATGGGGGTTTCATCTGATTTTGAGACAAAGTAGGAATATAGGCTTTGAACCTATAACTCTTCTGTTATCTCTAGCACATCAAATTTTCTAATTTGCAGCAAATTCTAGCATGAGTGGTCAGAAATGATTGTCACATTTACATATTTTTATTCAATTAGTAATTTTGATGAATGGAAATCACTGCATATTTAGGTGGCAGATGTTGCCCCAAAGAAACCAGCATGTTTAGATTAAATGACTATAGGCATATCTTGGAGATATTGCTACATCTGGCTCTACTTTGCAAAAAACTAATTTTTCAAGTTATACCAGAAAGAATCCATTTGAAAACATAAGGCCATGGACATTGACAAGAAAACCACATCAGTGGGACCCATTAAAATTTTTGCTTAAGTAAACATTAAGAATGTGACAACTGCTAACTTCCTATGAAGGATCGTAAAATCCCAGCTGTGAGCTCCGGTTTAGAGGTAGACTAGAAAGTAGCAATAGAAACATTCCCTAACCTCTCCAATTCCTCCTGTTACCTAGTTTTGGTTTAAAATATTGATGTCACATTTGGCTAAGAAGTGATCACTGGATCTTTTTAACTTGTTTGGACTGAAACACTCCATTCAAGATCTCTTGTATAAAAATTTTAGGTCCCACCACACATACTGAGAAGAACTTCTAAAGGAAGTTAGAACTACCTAACTGAAATCTGTAGCAGCAGAAAGACTTTGTGTTTCAAAAAAACAGATGATGGTAACCATAAACTAATCAGAACTCCCCAGAAAAGCCACAGTAACGTCTGGATACAGCATGGCACAGACCTTCACGATTGACATTGAACCTTAACCTTAAATGTATGATCTTGAATCTACAACATATCCCTTTCCTAGGTCATCTTTATCATTTCGGTTTAAAATTCAGGTTGATCACACGTTATTGATGAAATGAAAGTGTTCCTCACAATCTCCATCAACACCTTGCAAAAGTGACAGATCACGGGTGTCTGACAAAAGTGCCTCTGATGTATTCACAAAGGCCAGTGGCTCTTCACGGGCTGCTTTTATACGATAAGGGCATATTTTAACTGTTTTGCAGTTTAAAGATTGCTTAGGTTCTTTGGGACATCTTATTAAAGAGGAACAATGCATTTATCAGTACATTAATATTTGGATTTTTTCAATGTTTAAATATTTGGACCCATAGATATTCTGTAGCCTAGAAAGGAGACAGTGGCTACAGTTTTGTAAATTCAAGGATCAGGACTTCTTGGAGAAATAGCTGATTACAGGTCTGAGCTGGAAATGGGCAAATGAGCCTGGAACATCTTGTCATAGCAAATAGTGAAGAAGTTATCAAAGTTTTTAGAATTGTACCAAAAGCCAACTTGAAGATCCGTTGTCCAAAGATGGACTAAATTGCACACCAACAGGGATAGGAATTACAGTGAAATATATCTTTTTATATGGATACTTAAAGAAATACTAGCTTATCACTATGGAGTAACACTAGAGAGTTAACACATTACTTTGAAGTCTGGTAAGTAAAAAATAAGTATCAATGCTAATATATATGTTAAGTATTTATGCTAAGAAATACTATAGGATGTTTATGACACATAATTATTTACTCTGTATATGTATATATACTAGGTACCACTGGCAACCAAGCAACAAAACAGTAAATGAGAATTTTATCCTTATTGAAAGTATTCCAGTTACTATGTGAGGAAAGATTCATAGAACTAGAAAAAGCCATTTGAGCCTCTTAATGAACTAAAAAATGAATTTATTTGTGGATCATCACCAAAAAAAAAGACTCATGTGGTGTCTGCTGGCCTCCTGAAGAAAAAACATAAAACCACTTATGAAGTCATTACACCAAAAAAAAACCCTAAATTTTCTCAAACTACTCAATGAAACCACTAAGTTACAGATAACATGGAGGAGAGAGAAACACATTAAATTACACCTTTAACATGGAAATTCATGTGCAAAAAAAACCAAACAAACATAGAAATAGCAAAACCCAGACCATAGAAAATGTGATAAACAAAAACACACATCGCTACAGAAAATTTCAAGGGGAGGGATATAAAGTTAAAGAAAACACCTACAGATTAAATTGACATAACAGATGCATCAACCAATCATAGTGTGGACTTGTTCAGATCTTAATTCAAGCAGGAACATTTATGAGGTCATTGAGAAATTTGAAGCCTGTATGATTACTTCATAACTGACCAAAAACTTATGTTTTTAAAGTGTGATAATAGTATTGTGGCTACATTTTTAAAAGAGTTATTATCTTTAAAGAACATATACTAAAATATTTACAAATGAAATGACATGTTAGAGGTTTCCTTCAAAATAGCACGGGTGGAAGAATGAATGAGAATGTGAATGGAGAAAGACTGGCTGGGCGATGGGACTGATTAGCCCATAGTGTCTTCTTTTATGAGTGTTAGACGTTCTCCATAATAATAAACTAAAAACAAAATCAAGACAAAGCACATGAGCATTTCTTTCTTATATTTTACTCCAAAAGTTTCAAGTATTTCAAGGGAAGAAATTTATCAAGACTAATATTAAAAAACTGGCATATGTTCCTGAGTTTCATTTAATACCTTCAAAAGCAGCCCACTTTTCTAGGGAAAAGAGAAAACATACCAAGAACAAAGCTCTTGTTTTAGTTGCAGCTCGCTTATTTAATTCCCCAACATATTGTCTATACTTACTAGCAGTACTCACTATTGCATGGAAAGTTGTCCTATACAATAAAACTATATTTATGCAGTTAAGTTTATTTATCAGCATATAGATACCAGCTGTTTACCACAGGCAATCAGATGCAAAAGCAAAACTGGAATTCTATACTGCATAAGCTATTTTTCAATCTAGAATACAAAAAGATATTTTTCATTTAAGCTGATTTACTTTGAAATCATTTCAAATGATTTACTTTAAAGTCTTTAACTGTACCATATATACTAAAAAATGAAAAGGCCCTGCTTCCTAACATCAGCCTGCCCTTTACACACTTTATTTTTCCACTTTCCAGTGTTAGATGCTATTTTCAATTCGTTTGCTATGTCTATGTCTATGGACTTTCCAGAGATATAAGCTGCTAAATACAAGCCTTGTTGGTTAAAAAGTGGGTTGATGGTACATCAAAATCCTGACTTTAAAATACCAATAAATATTCACTGAGCTTAGTTTAATCACATTATTAAGTAATTTCATTGTTTCCCTCTCAAATTTTTCATGACCCTTTTGTTTGTGTGTTTGTTTTGACCAGGGGACTCTGAAAATGTTTCTTTTCTTGTGTCTTTATCATCTCAGGACTCACTAGTCACCTGTTTTAAAACCAGAGCTAAAAGGAAGGGTTCCGGGGTCAGATTCTGTGTGAATCAGACTGTTTTCCCAGAGTGCCCTGAAACCAAGGTGCCTTGGTAGATATACAAGTAAGAGTAATTGTCCTTTAATTAAGGGTATTTTTTCTTCTATGATTGTTTTTGCAACAATATCAAAACATTTATGAAATGTTTATCCTAACAGATCCTGAAGCACACTTTTTTGAGTCATTGGCTTATTTTTAATTACTGAAATAACCAAGGAAGAAACAAACAAATCCAAACAAGTAAATGGAAAATACATTTTCTTTTTCATTATATTTCTCAAGTGTAGAATCTGTTCTTGCTTAGGATATTTATATCAAGATCCTCTTTCTTGCATAAAATTGATAAAAAAAAAAAAACACTTACCCAGAACAAGAAGTTGAAGATAAACATAGAATATTTCAGACAGCCACTCACACCTGCCATTTCAGAAAAGGAGCAGGAATCCAGATGCTGTGAATTCAACTATTTGCTATAAGGTTGTCCTGAGATGTGCTCTGGAGTGATCTGCCTTGCAGAGATCCCTGTGCCCGCGGCTTCACGGCAGAAATGGATAGCAAAGAACTAGACAGAGGAAAAAATAGTTATAAAATTGGATGAAAAATTAACCCACACATTTAAATATCACAAAGGCTGTCTCCAGGCAAGTGCGTTCTTTTGCTTGTCATGGCTCCTGAGGCACGGGGCCAGGATATTTATGATCCTTCCTCAAAACTGCCTCCTCTAAAGTAAACATATCAAGTTAAGGGAGTGGCTCTGGGCAGAGCAGAGAATGGCACCGCGAGATAGGAGGTGGTTAGACTTCAGAAACAACAACCTGCTTTTCCTGCTCTCTATAACAAATAAGGTTTTGTTCCCAGGTAAAAGGACATTGTGTCTCAACTCATGTGTGCACTGTATTTTGTTAAGACAAAATTTTTTCCAGTACGATGAAATACATTTATAAATCTGCAAAATCTCCAACCTTAGGCACAAAAACCTTTTACCATTAAGCTTGGAGAGTGAAACAACTGTTATGTACCTGCCTTCCAAAGCCAGATTTTTTTCCTGAAAACATTTCCAGAGTTGCCATAAATGCACCAAGGTTGCAGGAAGTAGAGAAGGAGAAATAGCTTCTTCTACCATGCTAAGATCATTCCACTTTTATCTCTATTACTTTATGATGTGAAAAGAAAAATATTTTCTGGAGTCATTCTCTGACTGCCCCCATTATGTTCCCCTTCTAGTGCCTGGCCATTTTTGATAGTCTGGTTTGTTTTTAAGGTGGACACTATTTCCTCCTTCTGATAAATTATGCATTGCAACACCTCCATTTCACCAAATCAGTTTCTAGATCCCTGATCCTCTAGGGGCCAAAAAAAAAAAAATCTAAAATGGGCAAGTGATCATGGATTAATAACCATAGATTATACGATTAGTTTCTAGTGCTAAATAATAGGCAACTATCCCCAGGTAAAAGCAATGTTCTCTGACCTAACCAGACAGGTATGTACTGCTTTGTGTAAACAAACTGGATCATGCTGATTTACACACCCTGCCTCTCAACTGAAGTTCTTTTCCCTAATAAAAGAACCCTATACTTCAAAAATTTGTTGTGAAAATAACTCTTTTTAAAACTTTATTAAATTCTGTACAGTAAGTGAGCCTGGACTTCTTCCAAAAGAATATTTTTCTAATTTTTACTGACATACAATCCTACTAAGCAACTATAAACAGTATATTTTAGTGTATTGTCAGCAATAATGTTTAGTGTTAAAGACCACATTTGGAATTAGCTCCAACAATAATGACTTAATCTTTTAATCATCACTAATGTTGGTGTTCTGTGCTGTTTCCTCTTAGAAAATGGAAATACTTCCATAAACTCATACTGAGATCTTAGTGTGTAAAGGATAATCTATGGCTGAAAGAAAAGACTTTTACTGGATGAAAAAACTGAATTTATAATTCCCAAAATGATTATTTGTCATAGAGAAGTAAGATCAAAAGAAGTACTATTCTGTTGATAAATGTGTATTAAATGCTTACTTTGCTTGAGTTTGGAGTTGACTTTCTGGTAGATACCAACTTCCCCCTCAAAGGAATAGCCTTTTGCACTCTGAGTATTTGTGTTTCAGAGTGCTTGCACTCTGTAACACAATCAGTGAGTGTGTTCTCATAGGAAAATGACTCTGTGTGATACAACTCCCATTCCACTGCAAAACCAATACAACAATACTGTGCATCTCTCTCAATTTCTTTCCCAGTAAGTTTGCACAGCTCCTCCCCAGGTTAAATATTACAGTGTGGTTTTTATATTTGTCTTTCTTTCTTGCCTGATAGGTAATCATTCCCCAGAGTCTTTCATGGTCCTTAATATCTTTCATAACTGTTTCCTGTATTTCATCTTTTGGCCACCTGTCATTGTCCTGTCATCTCTCTTCTCCTACTTGACCCCTTTCAGTAGAAAGACAGTACCCTGCCAGTCTCCTCCCCTCTGCCCAAGCACTCCCAAGTTCTTTTGTTCTTTCTTTCTTTCTTTCTTTCTTTCTTTCTTTCTTTCTTTCTTTCTTTCTTTCTTTCTTTTTCTTTCTTT